TTTAGGTTTTCAACTCGAATTCTCTTTTGGTTTCAAGACGTCATCTAAAATTATACATCTTGAACCCTCTTTTTATTATTTTTCCCTATCATACATTAAAATTTTTAGAAAAGTAATTTTTTTCAAGTAAAATTAACCCTGAGGGGCGTAATGAAATCTAAAGATAGTTTATCCACTTAGAAATCCATGTATGATTAGAAGAGACTTTTCAGGTACGTAACGTATGCCAGGGTTCACGGTTATGAAAGAAATGGATAAATAGGCCCAAATAAGTGTTTAAGGGTTACTGAACCAAAGATCAATTCATTCTGCTGTCTTCAATCTTGTCTTGCCTGACTTGAATCTACTCGTGAGTTTTTTTATTTTATTTTGGTGTTCTCTGATCTTCCGGCGAATTGATTCTAGATCTTTGAACAGCTCGTCTTAAAGTATTTGATTGGTTTTATTTCTTCTTTCTTTCTTTCTTTCTTTTCTTTTCTCTATCTTTTTTCTTTTTTTCTTTTTTTCTGTTTTTTTTCTTTATTTTATATTTTATGTCTTTTTTTGCTATATCTTTTCTTCTTTCTCTCTGTATCGTCAACACGATTTGATCTTTGAGCGCTTGTATTTGGTCCACCTTGCGGTATGTCGTTATTTCTCATTTCATCATGACTTGTTCTGTGGCGAAATCTAGATTGGCAATCTTCACTCATGCGAGTAGATGTCCTTCACTTTTGCCCCCAGTGTGGAGGGTGATCCTTGGTTAGGGTTGAATAAGAAAAAACAATATTATAGGGTCAAAAGGGAAAACAAGGGATATATATATATACACACACATATTTTTGAAATGATAAATGAAACAAAGTCGTTCATCATCTCATACATGCAAGTCTTAGTAAAGAGGTACCCCAGGGGGACGAGTTTTTAGAATTAACCTTATTTACATGAAAACAATGTAATTAATGCATAATAGAATTATTTCAATGATTCTCTTTATTTCTTCTTCTTCTATTTGCTCCCAGTATGCCCTAGTTATTTATATTCTCAAAACTTGATCCGCAACACTCCATCTTGTCTTTCTTGCAAGAAAGGTTCTCGTCATACCCCCAGGATTTATTGAGGTTGGGAAATGAATGTTGGTTCTGTGTCTAGGAAAGGAAATGTGCGACTTTAAAGTCGTAATTCTGAAAAGAGGTAATGCTATGGAAAGGTTATTTCTGTCTAGGAAGGTAAAAATACAGGGTTTGGTGCCTCGAGCGGATAAAAGAATGACTTTATTGTTTCGAAGGGAAGTGATTTCAAGGTTAGTCCTTTGGTAGTAACATAGTTCTTTTGGGTAAGGAAACATGCAATGGTTCTTTCAGCTTTGGATGGGGTGTGGAAGGTCTAATCTTGCCATTTGTTAAAGACCCATAATTAATGAAGTAGTAAAACCTTTAATTTATTTGATATTCAAAGAATTACAAGATTAAAACTTGATTATTTGTTCATGACCTTGGAAAACGACATAAGTTTCTTTAAAAACCTTAACAAAAAGTGAGAATAAGGACAAAAACAAGTTCAAACAAGATGCTGCAAATGACATAAAATTTCATGATGGATGAAATGATTTCTGCATAATTAGGATGCCCCATTACTTATATGATGCAGTGGCATTTGATTCAATCAGATATTACATACTGTGCTCTGATGCCCTATTTCAATTCGTCATTCATTGTTCAACCAACTCTTGAGTTAACGTTCCATTATTGACGAGCATCTATATTTCTTTCATCAATGGACCATAACTCCCTGTAGAATTCCCAGTGCCCCCATGTGGAAATCACAAACACTGTCTTCGTCATAAATATGACCAGAAGGGTTCAACATTACTTTCATCGGTCTCGGAGTGATATGTTGACTTTTAACAAGATGTCAGAATAATTCTGATATGGATGTTTGAAACACCTCCAACGCTTTTCTAACTCAAGGAATCTTCTTTGGTCGATCTGAGTGATTAGTTGTTCTTCCTCATTTACGGCTGTGGGGCTTTATACGTGACATTTATTTACCTCACTATCTTTTGATTTTTTTTAGTAGTTGATCTTTCGGAGGCAATCTTTAAATTCCCCTTGGTAATTAAATACTCGTTCCTACTTGACACAAGATTTTCAAAATCATTCGTTGAATCTGTAAGCAACAACTCAAAGAAATAATCCGGAAGGGTGCTATGAAACATACATGACATTTCCTTTTTTAGATCAGATGATGTACTTGAGCTGCCATGCTTCTTCATCTCAGTGCGTATTCTCTAAAGCCTTTAGTAGCTTTCATCTTCAATTTATGGAGATCTTGATTATTTTGACATATTTGTATTAATCCAAGAAAGCATTGGCCAAATCGATCCATGACTTAGTTTTCTCTCTGCTCAAGCGGTTACACCACACCATTGCTGGTCCAGTAAGACTGTCGTGGAAGCAATGAATCATCAAATCATTGTCATTGAAATACCTCTCCATATTTCTGGAGAACATCTTCAAATATATTAAAGGGCAACTGGTACCATTATACTTTTCAAAATCAGATACCCTAAACTCATAGAGAATAACCAAGGTGGGGACTAAGTTTATCTCTCTCGCGTCTAAGTTTTCACGGGATGCCTCACTAGCTTTTATTACCTCAATCGACCCTTCTAATGCTTAATTTTTCCTTTGACATGCTCAGTGACCGTGTGATCTTTCCCTTATCCCAACAGGATTTCCCAGGGTGGTCAACCAACCTTGATGTTGCAATTTGTTGACGTCTTTCAGCAGACACATTTTATCGATTAATAACCAATGTAGCCAGTACTCCAATCATCTGACCCAATACTTCTTCTTGAGAGATTAAGGCTTAACTCATCATTCTCTGTTGCAGCATGGCCATTTGACATCGTATTTGATCTCGTAACTCTCCTTAGGACTTCTCTATTTCTTCTAACCTCTTATCCATCGAGAGTGGAAGAGAAATATAAATGGGTGATCTTGGTATTATTGTCATGTAACCTTTTAAAAATTAATCTGATGATTTTTTATATTAGAAATGTATAAAAATTAAATTAAAATAAATGCAATGCATATAAAAGAAAGGTGTCAATCCAGAGTAACCATCTTAAAATGATTTTCATTGATCACAAAAGGTTTCAGTACATCGAATAACCAAGCTACAGATAATGAATAGCTTTAGCTCCTAATTTTTCTATGTCATTTAGGAGCCAAGTTATCTTCTAGGTATGGTATGGTGCTGAGCCATCAATATGCGTCAAATCCCTTGCAAATACAGCTAAGTTGACCAACTTGTGAGCGACGTTGCTTTCTTGAGTAATCGCCTCATTCATTGAGTTGTCTTTTTTCTCCAGTTTACATTTCAACTCTTGAAACTGTAGGCGATATTGGCCATTTTCTTTCTTAAAAGATTCGACATGGTCATAAAGTTCTCGTGCAAAGTTCTTACAGTCAACTATCAACTCAGTCAATGTTTTATTTTCAGCTTTACTAGCTTCTAGCTTGGTTTATGAGTCGATGAAAGCGATTGTCCACAATTTATTCTTCTTTTGCTAAAGCCCCAAATTTTGTAAGGCTGCCCTACGTTTGCCTTCTTCAATATGCAGATCTCAAAAGTACTTCTTAGCCCATCCTTCATGCATTTTGCAATTCTTTTCCATCGTTTAACATCATTCTTCAATTTAGAGGCCTCTTTTTCCCATTCCTCCGGGTATTGCCTAAACCCATACTTTGGAAGGCTTGATTGATTTTGTAAAAACCATCTTTCACGGCTTCTAATTCTTTGTTCATAATGTCTTTTTCGCTCTGCAACTGATGTATTTGAGCTTCTTATTTCAGCAAATGCTCTTTAATTTCGTTATTCTCACTGATGTTTTTTTCCTTGGACTCCATTGGCTTCACTTTAACTAGATGTTCGGCTTCTAATTCTTTGTTCATAATGTCTTTTTCACTCTGCAGCTGATGTATTTGAGCTTCGTATTTCAGCAAATGCTCTTTAATTTGGTTATTCTCACTGATGCTTTTGTCCTTGGACTCCATTGGCTTCACTTTAACTAGATGTTTGGTTATTGAACTAGGATGACCTTTCTTCTCGAATTCCAATATACCATGCTCTATCAGACAATAAACTCAACACTTGAAGGCAACACAGGTAACGATATAATGTCCTTGAGCTCCTACGTGATATTTACAGTTGGCATTGGCATTGTACCAGTCTAGATACGGAAGTTGCATAGGTTTCACATACTGCGAGGTCACTTCTCATGCTTATAGCAACTTACTGTACAAATCTCCATATGCGATAGAAACAATATCAAAGTCAGGTTCACTCTCTCCTACCTCTCGGTCATTCATGAGGCACGTCTCCCGTTTGAAGTGATTATGTGTTTTATCTTCCTCTATCTTTCCTTGAAATTTAACAGTTGTCACTATTTCTTTTGTACCTCCTGATAACTTGTTGATGAGGGCAATAATTGCACAAGGCTCCTTAAGTTTGCTTGGGTCACTTTGTTCACAAGTAGCATCTTGTGTTACAGTTTTATTTTGTCGAGTTCTTTCTCTTTTTGCGCAGAAACCTCTTTTCCTTTGACTAACATAGTTATTTTATCTATCATCTTGGACATTTGTTCCCTCATTTTCTGCAATTCTCTTTGTTATTCATCATACATACGATCTTTGGACGTATAACTCCCTACTTTTATCGGAACTTCTTTCGAATGCCATTTCTTGGCTGTATTGCGGTTTACCTGATTATGAAACCCCTTGTCCATGATAAAAACCTTTTAATTGGTGACTACTCGGAATTGACACCCTTTTGTGTATGTTATGACCATATGATACAAGAAAGAGAAAGGCAAAAAGAAAACAAGTTAAGACGTATAAAAACAAGTAAGGTATAAAGGTAAATGCAAAAGTAAGAAATGCAAATGCGGATGCAAATGCAATGAAGGGACTGGTCCCAAAATAACTGTTCTTATAATAATTCTCAAAAAACTGACAATGTCTCGGTACACTAGGAAAGTGAAGATCTGGTCCATCTGTAAGTCGCCTAGCTCCTGCGAGCATCATGGCACTGCATCATCTTCAAATCTTCTACTTCATCTCCTACTTCTAGAAATCTTTCGAGCTGGTTCACGATCTTCAACTATTGGTTTCGGCGTTGAATCATCTCGAGTCCGACTTGTTACCTCAGCAGACAAATGTTTGGATCGTCTCCTTAGAAGATAGACTCCCTCTAGCTCCTACTTTATCTCTTACTTCCAGAAATCTTTCGAGCTGGTTCGTGATCTTCAACTGTTGGCTTCAGTATTGAATCATCTCGAGTTCAACTTGTTACCTTAGCAGGTGAATGTCTGGCTTGTCTCTTTAGTAGGTAGACTCTCTCTTGAGCTTCTCGATCTTCGTGGATCATCTTCGAAATCCTACCGATCCCAACGAAAGGCATTACCACGGGCATTTTTTTCAAGAACCTTCTAAATGATAAGTAATTTAGGGATCAATACCTTTGAATGGTATGTCATGTTCATGCAAAATTGCAATAAGAGCAGACAAAAGGAAATCAATGTTAGAAGAAACATGAAAAAAAGAATCAAGTTAGTTGAAATGATTAGTCCAAGAAATGTAATCTGAGAAATATAATTAATTATGACTCAAAGCTGAGACTAAAAAATAAAGCATACAAAGAAAATTAATAATCCTAACCACATGCATTCTAGCTCTCATAGGTTGTCCACATAGCTCTAGCGGGGTCAATTTACTAAATTCTCTATATGAGGTTGGTTCTAGCAACGGGTTCCCAAGCCATTTTACAACGTGCTATGGTTGACCCTGATTCTAGCCCATTACAGACTTCCGAATCGGGTTCGGCTCAAGGGATCACACCACTAAAAGCGTACCTCGGATCTGATATCCAGATAGGCAACTTAGGATGCTCTCAAGAGATACTTTATCAGACCCACACAAGGAAGCCCAATGCTCCTCGTGAGGTGTGACGTTTCTCCCTACTTAGGTAAACCTGTTTGAGCTCAATTTAAAGCTATGATATGCAACAATCTTAAATAATTTCACGAAAGTGTAAGCATTAATCAGAGAGAAAATCTATTTTTTCTTTTGAAAATACATAATAAACTGTAAATTAAATAAGACCGAACTCGTAATTTCCAAAATAATAAATATATGGTAACCACTCGTGGCTCGATTCTCAAGTTGTTTTTTAAAAAAACAAAAGTCCCCAGTGGAGTCACCAAGCTGTCAACATCATTTTTCGCCCAGCCGGGGAAAGACCTATACTGACTCGGGGGTTTTTTCTTTGAAAATATTTATCGAAATGTGAGGAGTTGCCACCAATCATTTAAGGTGCGATTGGTACACCATAAAAACTGAGTGATTTTAATAAAACATTTTATTTTCATCTAAATACCGAGTTTTGGAGTCTGCGAAAAACCATAAATCAGATTCGGGAGTCAATTACACGTGGGGAATGATTAACACCCCCACAAGCGCCCAAAAATTGGTACCTAGTTGTTCACCCTATATTTAAAATCGAATATTTTGAGTTCGATCTTTATTTAACTTGAAAATCATTATGGATGCAAAGTTTGAAATGGGTATTCGTTTATTGAGACCGGTATACGGGAGATAAGCTATTGTGCTAAATAACCGAATATTGCCTAATTTTTAGAAAACATGACGCGGGTTTTAAAAGGATGTCGACTTATTTAGGGAATTACCAGTAGTCACCCCCTGAGCATGATTACGGGAGATATACTATTAATTCCTTAATAAGTGAACATTGCCTTAGATTTATAAAAACAATGCGATCGAGCAAAATTTTATTTATTCTGATTATACTAAAAGTAAATTAAGGCGTTTTCTAACTTACGGTGACAATTATGAAAATTAAAGAACCTAGGGACTTAAATCTAAAAACGTAGGCTCTAATATTAATCCTATTTGATTTTAATTAATTATTGAGTCGAATAACCGAAATGGTCCCTTGAGCTTTTAAGCGATAGCCACTCCGAATTATCCCCTAAATTAAAAACTAATTGAAATCTAAGTTAAAATGGAGGCTCTATTTAACCTTTTTAATTATGTCAATATTAAGACTCTAATATAAGTTTAGGGACTAAAATGGTTAAGGTCTAAAATACTGAGTTGTAAAAGATTTAAAAGTTTGGGACCTAAATTAATGATTTCTAAAGATAGGGACTAATTAAAATAAATTAAAATTTAAAGATTAATTCGAAATAAAATAAAATAACAATGACTAAAATGCAAGAAAATAAAAGTTAGTAATTAAATGAGAAATAAATAGTGACCAAAATGCAAAAATTAAAATAACAGTGGCTAAATCAAAAACTAACAGTGACTAAATTAAAATAAAACAAAACAGAATAATAAAATTGCAATAAATTAGAAACGAAAGGTCTAGTGACAAAAATGTAAAACACGGTAAAGTTTGGGGGACTAAAACAATGAATTTACCAAAAAATTAAATCATGCATAGTAGAAAGGGAAAATATCAATTTTGGTCTCTAAAGGGACCATCTAAAGGGACCAAAATAAAAAACATGACAAAGATAGAGGCACTTAAGATGCAATTATACCATTGCTATAGATTATATATACCACCCTTTAGACTTTTTTGTTTCATTTTCACCCAAACACACAAAAACAAATCGAGTGCTCTCCCAAACCCCTCGGTCGGCCCCCTGCCGACCGCCCTGTATAGCCCCCGGTCTCTAGCCGCCGCACACGATGGCTGGAAAACACCGAATCCTCCCTAAAACAACCTAAATCACTAGATCTACCTCCCTACACCCGAATCCTAGGCTAGAACCCCTTAAAAGTCCCTAAATATCCCCTAAAACCATTCGAACGATTGGGCTTCCCTTCTCTCTGGCTGTCGAGGAGACGAACCGACACCCCCTGATAAGACATCTTTCTCTTCTCTTTTTTTAATACATGCAAACCTACTGTTTTTTTTTATTTCGAGACTAAGACAAAGAAAAACACACTGTTACACATTTTTTTATTTGTTATTTACTCTTATTTCGAAAGATAACAAAACTAAAGAAGGAAAAAAGGGCCACCTTTGCTTTTTATTTCGTATGGAAAAAAAACCGAGAGCCAGAACCTCCTCTTTTTACATTTTGATTCAGCTTTTATAACCTCTTTTACATAGATTTACATAAAAACTAATAGCAACTTGTTGGTGTGATGATGCTCCTATCTTTGCTTCTTATCCTTTATGACAGTGTCAGTGGCAGAAACTGGCTCTGGTGGTAGCGACGACAGCAGCAAGTTGCCTAGGGTTATGATGAAACCTAGGTGAGTTGGGTCGGGTCGGATCCGGGTCGTTGGGTTGGTTCGGGTCAGCTCTTGGGCATTGGGCTTGTAACGGGTCACTGGTGGCCTGCTGGATTGGGTCGGTTGGCTGGGTTTTGTATGTGGGCCTCAGGTTTTTGATTGGGGTAAGTTGCATTTGGTTTAATAATATAAATGATTAACATTTTACTTTTCTAAATTTGGTGACTAAAAAGAAAAAAAACACATATGAAACAAAATTTAATATCTCGATAGTTAGTTACCTATTAATTTTTACGGTAAATTAAGTATTTAATCATTCATTATTCTTGAGATTTTGTTTTGGGCTTTGATTATCTAACTATTTTTTAAAAAATTATATCTAAATTTTTGTTTTGGTCATCCGCTTTTAAAATAAATAAAACTGTTTACATGATTTTTTTCATTGATGATGTGGCACTATCTTATGGTGACACATCGACATCACCATTAATTTTCGAACAATGGATGATCAAAACTTAATGTTATATATGATTTTAAAGAAAAGGAAGGATGATCAAAACGAAACCGTAAGAATAGATGATGACTAAATACTCAATTTACCATAATTTTTAATAAGCCATACAAAGAAGCGAGGCCTAGGAGGCCCAAATCTTAGAAAACCGCTGGCCCATCTTCACCGCTGAAGCAGAAAACTAATAGTGTTACGGCCTCGAAAGTACATATACACGGCTACAAAATGGAGCTGACAATGTCAAACAAAGAAGTCGGGTTTCAAATTCGAACGAGTTTCGTTCGACTCAGTTGGTATTGGGTTCGAGAGTAGCACTGCGAGAAGGCGCTGGTGCTGCAATGAGAGAAGAGGTCAATAGCTCTGGTCGAACCATGGATCCCACTCCTGCTGCGAGGTACCAACTCTTGCTACTCTCTCCCTTTACTTGCTTTTTCGATCTCAATTCTCTTAAGTTAGGGTGTCCCCTATTTTTGGTGAATGTTACTTTTTTTTAATGTTTCCCGACGTGATTGTTCGGGTTAGAGCTAGGTTTTTTTTGGCTGTTTTTACCAGCTGTGAAAAGCGGGGTGAGAAGAAGATTGGGAATTACAGATTGGGTTATTTTAATTTTGGAAGGAAAATGGTTGTGAGTTTATTAGAGGAAGGTTTCATGTTGCTGCGAAGTTAAAAAAACAAGTCATAAGTTTTGGGTTTTGTCTAGAGATCCTAAATTTGAGCTTTGGCGCACATTTGGTTGAATCCAAATAAGGAAAAAAGGAAAATTGAAATCATTAAATTTAGCTCTGTTTTCATTTCTCTGCCCGAAAAGAAGAAGAAGAAGAAGGAAGCTTTTGCCTTTGGAAATCTTAACTAGGTCACTTGGTTAATGTATGTATTCTTATACACTTAATCACGGCTTCCTAAGGAAGTGATGATGATGTATAAAAATAATATATTTCATCTTTCTATGGTTGTTTTCCAATCTGCTAAGTCATTATTTATGCTATTTTGGGATTATTTTATTGGTAGAGGATGGAAACTGGATCTACGTAACTACCTGTCATTTCATTAGCAGGAAAGTTTTTCTTACTGTTAAAGAACCAACCTACAAGGAATATGTTAACTTTCTCTGGGGCTAGACTACCAAAGTGCCTTATACCATTTTGGGCGAGGCACATTTGATCAACCCCACGCTCGTGCCCACCTTGACAATGGATTTTTGTAAGGCGATAGGCACAAAAAAGCCCTCCTAAATTGAAGTTTTCTTTAGTTTATTTTTTTATTGATTGTATCTTTATTAGTATACAAAATAATTGATGGTTTCAACTCTCTACTTTCAATGGTAGAGTATTCCACAATAGAAAGAAGAAAACCGTGCATACTGACCAACTTGAGAAATAGTCCTCTCTTTATATCACATTAAGAATTATGAAGAAAGAAAAAATGACACTTCTTGCTCTTTATCAGTTCTGCTGGGGCATCCTCACCAGCTGTTCAAGCAAATCTTGGCAGTGTAGATTGGTCTGGTCCTGGTCAAAATTCCAAAGCAGCTTCTCAGTCTTGTGTTGGATCGCAAGCTCCACGGGTTTCACTCAGTACTAGTGCTGGTGGCTCTGCCCTTGGATCATCAAGAACTTCATGTCGACCATGGGAAAGAGGGGATCTTCTCAGGCGTTTGGCTACATTTAAGCCTATGAATTGGTTGGGGAAACCTAAGGTACGCAATTGACCAGCTGCTGAATCTCCTTGGTAGAAATTTATCCCTGTAGAGTTTGCATGTTGTGTGACATGGCCCCCTCCCCTCTTTATGTATTGATCTTTGATATTCATCACAGTTGGGTAGTCTACCTATCACAAAGGACAGCATGGATACACCTTGTCATTTAATCTTCTAAGTTTCTCCTTGGTGGTAAAATGCTTGCATATTCATTGAGTCCAGCGCTTAAATGGTTAGCCTAAAATCATTTTCAAATGTGTGATTAGCTGCTGTAAAAATCATTGGCTTGTGCTTATTTACGCGCTGGACAAATTGGTGAGCTTAATCTGATCTCAAGACAAATTGCTCTTTTTTCAAAATAATTGTAGGTTGCCAGATCATTGGCTTGTGCTCAGAGAGGTTGGATAAATATAGATGTTGATAAAATTGAATGTGAAACTTGTGGGGCATGCCTGCATTTTGCATCCTCTCCATCCTGGCTGCTTCTGAAGGTTAGCTACTGTAATTCGACTATTTCCTTTCCTTTACTTGCAGCTTCCCGGGATATATAATCATTGTAGTAATATCATCACAAATATCAAACTTTTCTACGTAATGATGCTTTGGGAAGTGCTTAATTATATATAAGAAAAGACGAGCAACATTGTAATTGACATATACACAAATCATTTAATTTCCCGCACAATTATTTTCTATTAATTGTGCTTATAGTAAACTTTAGTTCTTTGCCTGTCTAAGGAATATGAGAGAAAAATAAATTACAAGAAACCTTTGTGCTTTCTTTTCTGTATATGTTTCTAAGTGATTGATTCTAAATACTTTCTTTTGCTCATTCATTTTTATTACATCAGTGAGGGAATTGATGAAGTGAACCATTTGTGTTTGTTTGATTTCTAATTGGTGTTGCATTAGCTTTTACTTATAGTGGTATGGCAGAAGCTGTAACAGTTGTTTTGGTTTAGGTAACTGAACTGTTTTGGGTGGTTTGGCTGTCTGAACTTGAAGTTAATATTATTGATTATGTTTCATCTACTTGTGTATGTGTTGGTTGGGGGGGGGGGAGGGGTCTTGCAGTACATTTCTAAAGGTACAATATGTTTTGGTCTCTTTTCTTCCTTCTCTCTAATAGTATTGATCTCTCTCTCGCGTGCGTTTGAAGTTGAGGATGCTGGTGAGGCCTTTTCCAAGCAGCTGGATGTTGGTCACAAAGTTGCTTGTCCTTGGAGAGGAAACAGCTGTCCAGAAAGTTTGGTCCAATTCCCTCCAACACCCCAGTCTGCACTAATTGCTGGATACAAGGATAGATGTGATGTACATATGCAGTTTCAGTCTCTTCCTGTAATTGCTGCATCTGCAATGGAGCATATGCGAGCTTCTCGGGGTCCACAGGTTGATCGCCTTCTATCCCTGTTGCAGAATTGTATGGCGGAGTTCGAATCCAGATCAGAGAGTGTACCAGAACTTGATATTACTCGAGATGGTGCATTTTGTCTGTACTCTCATGTAAGATATTTTAATGTGTTTTTATATGCTGGTAATTGGCACTGTTACTGTGTTCTTATGTGCTTTACCATGTAACAGTCTCAAAAGCTCATAAGCTTGTGTGGATGGGAGCCAAGATGGCTTCTAAATGTTCAAGACTGTGAAGAACATTCTGCTCAATCGGCTAGAAATGGGTGCTCATTTGCTGCTAGCAGAGCTCAAGTCCCTCTTTCACAGGATCCTGGACCAAGCAAAAATGCTCTTGCTTCTTCAGCCAAGGACACTGGGAAAAAGAAATTATTAGTCGTGGAGTCTAGATCTTCGTTCAGGTTGCCCTTGTTAGACTGTAGCTTATGTGGTGCTACTGTCAGGATATTGGATTTTTTAACTGTTCCTCGACCTGCTCATGTTGCTTCTAACAACATTGATATCCCTGATACAAGCAAGAAAATGGGATTGACACGTGGACTTAGTGCAGCCAGTGGAATTAGTGGTTGGGGTGCTGCTGATGATCCAGAGAAAGAACCAACTGAAGACCGTGATGAAGTAGGAACAACTGATGAGAGAAAATTGGAGCCAAAAACAAATGTTGATTTGAATCTTACAATGGCAGGGGGTCCGTCTTTCAATATGTTGGGTAGAACCACACCGTCCATAAATATGAATGACGCAGACATGGATCAGGATCTAATAACTGGGCAACCATCAGGTAGCGAGGTTGGTGATCGAGCAGCTTCTTATGAATCAAGGGGTCCCAGTCCTCGCAAGCGAAGCTTGGAAATAGGTACCAGTTCATATGATAGGCCACAGTTACGCCCACAACAGACTGATAGTATTGAAGAAACTGTCACTGACCGTGATGGTGACAAATTCAATGATTGCAGACAATATTCTGCCGGGCCTTCAAAACGTGCTCGTGATTTAGATGTTTTTGATACTTTCTGCTCACCATATCCAAGAGATTCCTCTGATGCAGGCCCAAGCCATTCAGTGGATTTTGAAACTTATGGCGATGGTAGCAATAGAGCTGCTCTGTTTAAGCAAGGAAGTAACCAGATTACTGAAATCCCATCAGCCAGAGATTCAATGCGTGCGTCCTCTGTCATTGCAATGGATACTTTGTGTCACAGTGCTGATGGTGACTCTATGGAAAGTGTCGAAAATTATCGTGGAGATGTTGATGATATTCATTTTCCCTCTTCTAGTACTTATGGCCACATTGACATGAATGAAACGTCAGAGTTGAATTATAGTAATCAAGCTCAGCAGAGTATTTGTTTCCAACCAGCCGCTGAAGAAGTTCCAGGTGAAATGGGCATCAGTAGTACAAATGACAGTGAGGAAATTTTCAATGCTGAAACTGTGACAGCACAGGCTAGGGATGGGTTTAGTTTTGGTATTAGTGGGGGGAGTGTTGGTATGTGTGCCAGCCATGAAGCTGAAATTCATGGAGCAGATGTCTCTGTTCATAGAACAGATAGTGTAGTTGGTGATGTAGAACCCAGAATGGAAGATGCTGAAAATCTGGGTCAAACCGGTGAATCTGCTCCAGATACTGGGTTGATGGATGAGGTCGTTCCTGGTGGAATAAATAGGGAGGATCCTCATGGTGATAGCCAGGAAATGTTGTCTCGCTCCTTGGGAAGGGATGATAGTGGTTCAAAAGTTGATGGTTCTACCAAGGCAGAGTCTGTTGAAAGTGGTGAAAAGATAAGCCAAAGCTGCAGATTAGTCCCAGATAACAGTGCTCATCCTTCTCTTTCCTGCAATGCTAATATGTACTCTGGTAATGGAACACCCAAGAAAGAGACAAAAGATGCTGGAAAATCTTCCATAAACAATTGTCCAGAGCTAGAGTCGGATTATGCTATTGCAAATGGAATAGGTAAACTCTATGTGCATTAACTGGTATATCCAAGCCATAAAACTTGCATGGATCTACTTCTAAGGCTCTTTGTTGCTGAGGTATGATGTAATTTTTCTTCAGATTAAATTAGGTTTCATGGTAACCCCTGTAGTTTGCTTCTCAATTTCTTTCACTCTGCTGCTGAATCAGTGAGAATGAGCTATTCTCGGGAACATAACAATTTGTCTTCTGGGCTGGAATTGATTAAAATTTTCTGGATCATGTACTTATTTCTATTGTTTGCTAGATCTATATTCAACATTTAGCACTTCACCCTATGTGCATGGAAATGTGCGCCAATTCAATTCTAATTGATGTTACATTTTCTGTTTAGTCATATCCAACTTTTTGTTTGTATCGAAGTTCATGTTTCACTCAACTGTATGACATTTTGAAGGTGTTTTCAATGAAGCTGGTTCTCATTTTCCATTTCTCCTTTTTTCTCTACCGGATGCCTTATGAAGACTATTTGTGTTTTAGGCCTACCAAAAGGAGAAAGCAATTATGAAGCAGTAGAATTTGATCCAATTATTCATCACAACCAATTCTGCCCCTGGGTGAATGGAACAGTTGCTGCTGCTGGCTGTAGTAGCACCAGTGGTGATGTTGTTGCAATTTGTGGATGGCAGCTGACCTTGGATGCCCTGTGGTCACAGGGGCAATTTCCTGCGCAGACAGTACAATCTGAGTCAGCAGCATCGTTGTATAAGGTTTGTTGTCTTGATAATGAAATATGGTGGATATGGGCCCATAGGCTACTACAGTTGTCTCTTCATTTCCTCAACTATTGCCAATTTTCTTGCAGGATGAACACCAAACTCTTGGTAAAAGGCTCCATCGACGGCGTCCTATGAACAAAAATCACAGGCAGTAACATGACCACAGGCAGTAACATGACGTGCAAATACACCTGCAATGGTTAGTAAGTATGTCACTTATGTAAAATGATTGGTTGTAGCTTCTAATCATGCATGTTTCTTCATGTAATCCTAGTTTTAATTGAATTTGGATCATATATATACATTTTTGTGTGTGTATTTTTCTTTCTTTTTTTTCAATATGAAAAGTAGTTGAAAATAACTATATTTTATTCTGGTCCATACCTACACCGAATGCTATGTCCAAATCTATATTTTATTCATATGTATACATTTGCGTGTGTTTGTGTATTTTTCTTTCTTTTTATTCAATATGAAAAGTAGTTGAAAATAAGGTTCTGTTTCAAAGGGGAGTGATTATTTGTGCTAGTTTTTATGCAATTAATTGTTGATTACACAACTATTACAAACATTTCTTTTGGCAGGAACTGAAAGTTCTTTAAGTACGTTTGACTATTTTAGAAAGATCTTGTTGACACCAAAATGGAAGAACTTTGACTATAAACGTAATGCTCTTGTGAGAATTATGGCATAATCTGAATTTCTAAATGTTGTGAATTACTCGACTTTCTATATAACAATTAAATGAAATATGTGGTTTGGAGCTGAAGTTTTGAAAGTCTAAATGCTGAACATAGGTTATTGATGTGGCCAAACCCAAAAGGTTACAAGAAAATACAAGGGAAAACACTCAAAGAGACGGAACCATATTTATATATATGAGCATTATGCATTTAGTGTCCCAGAGTTAAATATAGCAACAAAGGCAACCTTCTTTCGAACTCTATTAAAAATCGGAAAAAGATGTTCATTAACATGCATACATGTTCAATTGGCATCTCCAAGACGTTCATTATTTCCAATGATTTTATAGTCTGGAGCATGTTATTACAAGTTATTTCACCACTTCTGTGAGTGGAACAAGAAATTTGGACAAATTACTGCAAATGTGATTGTTTCCATGATAGGGCCCTGCTGTTATGGCTTACCCTTGGGTTTGATCTTCATGTTGTATGTGATTGCCAATGTCATGTAGCTCAACGGCTGGAGCAAATTGGAAAAGCTTTGTCAGCCACCGGAAAGTTCATTCTTATCTCATGGTTAAGTACTGTGTTAATACTTGCATAGATGATCTATATTTGTGTCTCTTAGCTGGTTCTTTTCAGCATTATGAATATTGTTACTATTAGTCTTCACTATCAGTGACGTGACAGTGAACATTGCTGTTAAGAACAAAGCCTTTTTTTTCTCTCAAGACTCTTCTACTCGTGTTTTGGGCTGTTTCATAAATAATATAAACTTAGTAGTCTCAACCTTAAATAAGATTTGAAATGGTACTTAAAGTTTATACAAAGCTGGTATTTGATCAATCTTGGCATGACGTATAGGATGATATTCTAATTCATCATATATGTTTCCCTCGCCCTTTCTGAACTCTATAAATACATTCGATTGTTCGACGAAAACGGTTTGAAATGGTTACACATGATTCTTAAACTCTTAAAATGGAAAATTAATACTCCCTCCGTTCCATTACTTATCTTATATTAACTATGCGTATAGTTTTAGGAGGTACATTTAATTAAGGGAAATGATAAAATTATCAATGAAAAGTGATTGATAGATTTGATAATTATTTTGATAAGTGTAAAAAAAGGAGACATATAAGAGTTAAAAATAAAATATAAGTGTTGTTGTTTGTTGATTTTTTTATAAGATATTTCGAACGTGATAATTTTAAAAATTAAAATATACACCTTTAATTTAATTTAATGGGACGGAAGGAATAATTTAACGTAGTCGAGTTTAATGATTATAGTGATGGCAATAGACTGGGATGGTTCATGGTCTACTCCGAATCCACTCAACTAATCTGAAGGAAACTTTGCTTCATCTAATCATAACTCAATTCAATACATCATACAAATATGACCAGTTTTCAGACAAGAAGCTTACTTATCTGTCCTCACCATGTCTGCAACAGCAATCCAATCTTCAGCGTTTTTATTATATATATAAAAAAAGGAAAATTCTACCGTGCTCGGCGAGGGACGATGAGCACCAATGACGATGAACATCGATAAATTAATTTGTAAAATGATAAAATTATAAGGTACTGAACGTATAATTATATTTTAGTTAAAAATGTAATTGTAATTTTAAATAAATCACAATATTAATTACATTGTGTTTTTAATATTTTTGGGTAAATTACAAGTTTAGTATCTAAAGTTTCTCTTTTAGTATGTTTTTGTACTTGAACTTTCAATTTTTACAATAACGATTAGCATCAATAACGATGAGCATCTTTAAATTAATTTATAAAACGATAAAATTATAAGGTACTCAACGTATACTTATATTTTAGTTAAAAATGTAATTGTAATTATAAATAAATCAGAATATTAATTACATTGTGTTTTTAATATTTTTGGGTAAATTACAAGTTTTGTATCTAAAGTTTGACTTTTAGTACGATTTAGTACTTAAACTTTTAATTTTTACAAAATTATACCTAATGTTAGTTTTTGTTTCATTTTACTATCTTACCATTAAAAGCTTCCGCATCATCAATCAAATATTAATTTTTATTATTGTGTCACTACCCTATTAAAATAAAATTTAGGCTATTATGCTGGCATGGAATTTGAACCCACACCCTCTTAGGCGGAAGGGATAAAGCTGGGCCATTGAGCTAAGCAAGTTATTACCTTTTCACCAAAAACTATATTTAATTTATACTTTATTGCCACCACAAAACAAGATATTTTAATTAAAAACTAGGACTCAAACTTATGATTTCTCCCCCAAGAAAAAATAGTGCTCAGCCATTAAGCTAGTATATGAAATTGGTCATGTATCATCAAATTTATATTTATTTTATATAATTATTTAGTTAAAGACTAAAATATTAATTTATTTAAAAATATAAAATATTTTTAGTATAAACTATATAAAATATTAAATCATTAAATTTATATTATATGATCATAAATAAATATTTTAAATTGAATTTTAAAAAAAAATTAATATTGATTTTTAAAAAAACATATATTTAATTATTTTTATTCTAAAAATAAAGCTGAAATAATTTAATTTTTAATTAAATAATTTGGTTTATAATTATAAATGTTTTATAATTTTTCAATAAATTAATATTTTAGTCTTTAATTAAACAATTATATAAAATAAATATCAAATTGATGATATATGACCAATTTAATATATTTGCTTAATGACTTAACACTAATTTTTCTTGGGGAGAATCCTAAGTATGAGGGTAGTTTTAATTAAAATATCTTGTGCAGTGGTGGTAATGAAGTATAAATCAAATAGAGATTTTGGTGAAAAGGTAATAAATACCTTGCTTAGCTCAGTGGCTAAGCTCTCTTACATCTGCCCAGGAGGGAGTGGCTTCAAATCTCTTTCCAAGCAACAATAGTGTTAATTTTATTTCAATAGGATGGTGACACATGTCATCACCCTATTGGTTAAATAAAAATAATAAAAATTAATATTTGATTGCTTAAAATTATCACACCATACAAAAATTAAATATTAAATATGATTTTGTAAAACTTAAAAGTGCATGTACTAAAATATACTAAAAGTGAAACTTTAGGTACTAAACTTGTAATTTACTCAAACGTTGAGTACCTTATAAATTTATTGTTTTACAAATTAATTTATCGGTGTTTAGCGTTATTTGTGCTCATCGCCGCGAACTTTAGTGGCGCTATTATTCATCCTTAAAAAAACCTCTAAAAATTCATTTATTATACAAATAACCCTCAAACGACATTAATTTAAAAAAAATATCTCCTAAACTGCACACGTAAGACTACCCCGCATCCTACAAAATGTGTGCAAAGACCTCGCGTTTTATAGGGCGTGAGACTCTTCTAACGTGGAAACACTTTTTCAGATAATACAATTTAATATTAGGTTAAACGACTTCGAGTTCTATGTAACGCAATGTCTACGAGAATTTGAAACGTTTCAACAATTTATCGTTTGAAGTATCGCGTCTTTTGAATGGACCTCGCGGTCTGCGTAACACGAGGTCCTTATTGTAATAATAAAAATATTAAACTATTTTATGAATTAGATTAAATTAATCATTATATTTATATTGTATTGTAAATTATATAATAAAGTAACCAAAAACTCTATTGTAATAAAAAGACAATACTTGTTAAAATTAAAATTCATTCTAATGTAACATGTAACTAAACAAAGTTGCTCAATGGTTCCAAAAACAATAATCATAATAAGTACATATGTTGTCATTTGGTTGCCAAACTTGGTCGATTGAATTACGCAAACAATTGTTATCACAATTGCAGCCTTCAATTAGTTATGGAAAGTTAAGGTTGTAACGACTCCACGACATTAAGCTTGCAAACACATTGATCACTGAACGAATAACTTCTAAATTTATTTTCTTAGAATTGGCGAGATCGAGAGCTTTCATGATTCAAAGTCTTTCATCTCTTAATTCACCAATGAACTAATAAGAATAATGTCATAGACATATATGGCATTGATATTAGCTTTATCAGCTGCTCTCTTCAAACAATGCAGACAAGACTCCGAATTTCTTCCACCAAAATAATCACACATGCCTCCTTTATATAACACATCGTGATTATTACTATCTTTGCATCTTTCTTAAAAAAAATTCTCGGTTTGAGTTCATGGAACGACGTTGATATTCTTCATTGAAATATTTTCAAGTATGTAATTGTGCTTTGAGGCTTCATGAAAAATCTTGCAACTCAACCGCGTTTTGAGAAAATCGACGATAGAATTAGACACTATATGCACAAGAATTTTAGATAACACTTTTCTTGGGAATAACTCCACAATATCACTACATAGTTTTTTTCCCATTTTTTTAAAATATGTTGAGAAAACCTTAGAAATGGACCCCTATTTATAAAAAAATCATTGCACCTTTTTTGAAGCAAGGAATCAACAGATCTCACGTTATACAAGACGTGAGGTCCATTAAAAAGACCTGACATTTAATTCGAATAAAATCCACTTGTCAGAACGAACCTTGGGTTTGCAAAATACGAGGTTCTAGCGTTTCCATCCCACCAATCGTTTGTTATTATGCATGTTCGAGGCATTTTCCCTTGTCGTAAATTGGAAAAAATTTATAATTTATAAGATTAGTAGAGTATTATTTGAACATATTTTTTAGTTGAGTGCAATATCGACACATACTAGACATTATAAGTTGGGTAAAAAAATGGCTTGATATGCATGAAAACTACATGAAGAACAAGATAAAATGGCTTGATATACATGTTCGTGGAGTATTTCCGTGAAGTTAATCGAAACATTTGTGTAATTTTCAGCTTAGAGGAGTAGTATAGCAATTTATCTTTTAGTTAAAATTGATATCGGCGCATACGGTAAATTATAAGCGTAATACAAATCGGGTTCAAAATGGTTCCAAACCAAAAGAAATTGAAAATTAATGAACATATTTTGTAAATAACTTGCAGTGGTGTAAATGTTAGGTATGGCTCATAAATATACCAGTAAAGAGGACAGGAGATGGAGCGGAGTGAGCGAAGCGAACGTCAACTGTCCTTACAAAGAAAGTCTCGTTGTGGGGTTACGAATTATGTGGGTTGAGGGTGCGGGGGCACAGCCCCCGCGGTACGGTACAGGGTTAATTTTGTAATTATGTACCAGGGTTTTCTATTATAAATAGAGATGTAACCTAGACCTAAAATATCATTGAATAAAAACTTCTAGCGCCGCCTAGGCACCGAGGACGTAAGCACATTGTCGAACCTCGTAAAATTCTCGTGTTCTTTTGTTTTCTTTACCCGTTTTCGTCAACAATTGGTATCAGAGCCAGGAGCAAAATTCGAAGTCGCGAAATTCGATGGTCAGGGTAACTTCGGATTATGGCAAACGAGGGTGAAGGATCTATTGGCGCAGCAAGGGATCTTGAAGGCTTTGCGATCTACAAAGCCGGCGTCGATGGATGAGGAAGATTGGGAAGAATTGCAGCAGCGAGCGGCAGGAACCATACGATTATGCTTGGCAGACGAGGTCATGTATCACGTCATGCATCTATCGTCTCCATACGAAATTTGGAGGAAGTTGGAAAGTCAGTTTATGTCCAAATCCTTAACGACAAAACTGTATCTGAAGCAGCGGCTGTATGGGCTGAAGATGCAGGACGATCACGATTTGGCGTAACACGTGAATGTCTTCAATCAAAT